TGCCATGCTTGAGCCCATTGATGCTGCCACTATGCCAATCCATCTTGCCGGGGTCTTCTTCTTCTCTGACCCTCCACCTTACCAAACATATCCTTCTCCACAAACTGGTCCCTCCTGACAGTATGTCCAAAGTATGAGAGACGAAGTTTAGCCATCCTGGCCTCTAAGGAGCACTCTGGCTGCACTTCTTCCAACACAGATCCTTTGGTTCTTTTGGCAGCCCATGGCGCTTTCAATATTCTCCTCCAACACCATAACTCAAATGCATCAATTCTTCTATGGTCTTCCTTATTCACTGTCCAGCTTGCGCATGCATATGAGGTTATTGAAAATACCATGACTTGGGTCAGGCGCACCTCATTCTTCAAGCTGACATCTTTGCTCTTCAACACTTTAAAAAGGTCTTGTGAAGCAGATTTTCCTAATGCAATACGTCGTTTCCTTTCTTGACTACTGCTTCCATGACAGTTGATAATTGATCCAAGAAGAATGAAGTCCTTGACATCTTCAATCTTTTTTCCGTTGATAAGAATATTGTTTATTGGTCCACTGGTGAGGATTTTTGTTTTCTTTATATTGAGATGTGATCCATAGCATCTCACTCTCTCTCCTAGCACCTGTTTTTTCTTACAGTTGTCTTGTTTTATAGACATATTACTTGTGGGAGATGTGTATGCTTACTCTCTGCCCAGCTACAACACAAATCCCAGGGAGCCCTGTGACTATGTTTGACTGAATCATAAGTGGGGTGTGTTAAAGATGCTTCAAGTAAGTTGGGTGACTGCAGTATGTCTGCATGTTGGCAATGACCAATGTGGAAGGAGTTTACGGTTTTGGGATTTGACTGTGGTTTAGTCACTCCTTGAGGGGCAAGAAAAGCTGTGATTTTCCCATGAGGCTTGGTCCCTCTGTCATCTGACCCTCAGTCCATTCCCAGCAGGCATGGGAGCCACTCTTGGTATTGCTGGACAAACCCTGGAAAGGCATCCCCGTGGGAACAGTAGGTATCTCTGGGAATGGCTAGCAGATTCTAGCAGGAGGAATGCAGGGAGGTGGCAATCCCGGGAGCTATTGCCGTCCACTTGGCCCCACTGCCCAGCTTTCTCCCCTATGGCATTTTTTAACTCTTCACCTGTCAATACAAAGCTATTTACCCCTCTAGTTCTGCTTTAGTAGCTGGAGTCTGTATAAGCATATAGCTGAGTCTAGAGCCATTTCTCAAACCTCTTGGACCATGGAACCTCACCCTGTTTCCTAAAGGAGAATCTATTGATCTTTCCAGCCTTTCATAGAGCACAGTTTGGAGAAGGAATATGAATGGTGACTTAGAAAGTATCTTTGAGTATTTTTTGATTATTCTCAAAACACAGAACACCTACTAAATTTCCCCTAGAATAAAATGAGCTCCCGCCAGACTGTTCTACACATGTAAGAATTCTGCATCGACTCCTCACAACACCCCTATGAAGGAAGAGTGATTATCTTCCTTTTACCGATGAAGAAATCAAGGCACAGAGACCAAAATGGACAAAGATCGGGCAGGCTACTTTATCACCAGCCGCACTGCTACAAATAGGAGATAAAAAGCAGCAGTTCTCAGTCCTGAGAACATATTGGAATCCCCTGGTGGGCTTGGAGAAAAACATGAAGCCCCGGCTACAACCCGGACCAATTATAGCAAAATTGTTGTGAGTGGGCCCCTAGCATCAGTACATTTGAAAAGTTCCCTAATTATTCTTATATGCAGGTTGAGACCCAGCAGATTAGAGCAGGGGTTTCAAACTGTGGCCCAGACTGTGTGTGTGTGTGTGTGTGTGTGTGTGTGTGTGTATGGGCGGGGGGAGATATAACTACCCAAAACTCAAACTCATAACCATCAAGTTCATTCCAACTCATAGCAACCCTATATAGGGTTTCTAAGATTGTAAATCTTTACAGGATCCGACAGCCTCATCTTTCTCCCTCAGATTGGCTGGTGAGTTTGAACCACTGACCTGTTGTTTAGTGACCCAACATCTACCCCACAGCACCTATTTTTGTATGGCTCATGAGCTAAGAAGAGTCTTTACATTTATAAATGGCTTTTAAAAATCAAAAGAAAATAGTGTTTGGTGACATATAAAAATGATATGAAATTAAAATCTCAGTGTCCATAAATAAAGTTTTATGAAACACAGCCATGTTCACTTATGTGTTGTCTACAGCTGCTTTCCCAATATGGCAGAGTAGTGTACAGCCCACAAAGCCAACAATCTTTACTCTCTGGTCCTCGTATTGAAAAATCTTGCAGATTCCTGCAGTAGCGGAAACTGGCATCTGAAAAGATAGATCTAAGGAAGAACTTTCTGGCAGAGAGGCTGGTAAACCCTGAAGAAACTTGGAGGTGCCACCTGTTGCCCTTAACAAATCTACAATGGGATAGATAAGGCAAAGAGAAATCCTATTGTCGTAGAATTGATTCTGACTCCTAGCGACCCCATTTATTTCAGCGTAGAACTGTGCTCTACACAATTTTCATGGCTTGTAGTCTTATGAAAGTAGATGGCCAGCCCTTTTGAAGCATCAACCTTATGGTTAGTAGACAAGTAACCAGAAATGTAGGACACCCAGAAACGTAGGACAAAGAAATTACCCCTGAATTTCCAACCATGGGATTCCCCCGGTAGGCAGTGACAATTCTGTTTGGCCTTTCAGTCCCGTCTGGATTTTCTGTGTTCTCCATTGCTGATGTTCCAGAACCAACCTAACCTTCCCTCCAGTCACAAGCCATGCTGGATGCTCTGCCTACAGTCTTCCCATCCTCACAGAGCCCGCCTGAAACCAACCACCAGCCTAATGAAGCACCTGCCGATCTTAGGGAATCAATCACTGTCTGTTTCTACACCCCTGTGGTTGTCTGACCTCAAACAAAAAGGCTGGTGGATTCACTTTCCAACTACTCTTCTTTGATCTTGCATACACAAGATTCCCATACCCATCCAACTTGAATAGGGATACCAGAGCTCGGTGTCTGGTTTCTCCTAGATCGGCTTGCTTTCCTTGGTGCCTTGGCCCCTACCCCTGACAGATTTTGCCACTGCAGTAAATAGCCCTTGTGTCCCTATGGCCCCGGCCCCCAGGCAGCTGTCCAAGACAGCAAGGAGTTTGGATGGGGAAGGCTTTTGCCATTGGGAACCTGATTTGCCCTTGGTCAGACAATGTTTGAGAGCAAGATGCCAGGTGGGGGGACTTAGCTGCTGGGACAGATGTCACTGGTATACAGCATGAATCTGACCTTTGGGGGCTTCAGATAGCCTCTGATATCATTCTACCTCAGAGGTAGCCACCCTGAGCCACCAGCCCACTCAGCTACCAAAGTGGGTGGAAAAGGGGTCCAGGAATTGTCTCTGAGAGGCCTGTGAACAACAAAAACGATCTGTAAAATGAATGTACAGGGATGATTTGTGTAATTTCTTTAGAGTCCATGCTTGCATGCAATTCTCACAGGGCATGAATCACTGGGGTACAAGTGATCAGAGCAACTTTGAAGTGCTTGCCCCATGCCTGGAAGATCATGGTCTCAGGGTTGTAAGGAATAGCATTATTTTGTCCTCAAACATTCCTCCTAGAGAGGACAGGACCCAATCGGCCCAAACTGCTCCTTACAAGTAACCACGTGCTTAATTTTTTTGCTTTGTTTTTAAAGATGATGCACCTTTGTCCAGGGAGGGGAGAGAGGAGTCAAGTTAATCCAGCCATTCCACTGTGAAAGGAATTACCAGGTACCAGGTCTCTCTCTCTCTCTCTCTGAAAGCCCTGAAAACCTGGAATAAGTCCTTAGTGTAGAGGGCCAACAGCATGTGCCTTGGAGCTCGACAGTCTTGGCCCAGGTTTGGAGCCTAGTTCCACCATTTACCATCTAGGACCTAGGACCTAGTACTGGCTAGGGTCCTGAGCCAGTCCTATCAGCAAATCCTGGGAGCTTATTTGTTGTTGTTAAGTGCCGTCGAGTCAGTTCTGACCCACAGCGACCCTGTATAGGCTTTCCAAGCAGTGGCTGGTGAGCTTAAACTGCCGACCTTTATGTTTTCAAACCGACCTTGAAGTCTAGCACATTAGTCCATAGCGCCACACCAGGGCTCTGGGAGCTTACTGCTGTTGTGAAGTGCTGTCAAGTCGGTTCCGACCCATAGCGACCCTGTATAGGGTTTCTGAGGAGCAGCTGGTGAGCTTGAACTTCCGACCTTGCAGTTCAAACAGCTTTGCAGTCTGGTGCATTAACCCACAGCGCCACATCAGGACTCCTTTGGAAGCTTATTGGGAAGGCAGAATTTACTGAATTAGAATCCTGCTTTTTAACTAGATCCTCAGATAGCTACGATGCACGTTAAAGTTTCAGGAGCATTTTTCTGGGACCTTGTTCAAGTGGTATAACTCACTGTGCCTCAGTTTTCTCATCTGAAAAATGGTGACAATACCTATTTTAAAAGATCCTCGAGATAATTAAGTGGGATAATGTATGTCACACCCTTAGCACAGTGTCTAGTACATAGGAGATGTTCCATATTAATCTCCTATTCCTATCCTCCTGCCAAGGGAACCCAGGCCAGCCTTTCTCTTAACGGAGTTTAAATTTCTTCTCCGTTCTTTAAAACCCCTTGATTTTTCCACTTGAGAATGTTGCAGTGTCGCATTCGGACAGTAGAGGGCACTCTCGACATTGCCATCGCGAAGAACCTGAACTCCCGGGATAAGATGCGCAGACTCGGAAGCGTCTCACAAGTGCCCGCGGTGAGCAGAGGTATGCAGTTGTTCGTCGTTTAGACAAGGACTGCTCGGTCGTCCAAAGTCCCCGCACCAGCGCACCCCTCTCAGGCCGAGTGTCCTGGGCCTGAGCATGCAGTCTCAGTCACCTGGTCCCCCATTTGATCTCCCGTTTCTAGCTATAAACAAATTGCCGAGTTCTCCAAACCTCCCGGGCTTAGTCTCCAGGCCCATTGGGAAGCGCTTCCCGCGGGCCGCTAGACGTTGATGAAGGATCCCTGGTCACCGTTGGCTGTCTCGGGCTCCACGCAACGTCCCTTCCTTCGCGTAACCCTGCGGTTCCGGTGGAATTTGGCGTAGCAGCGAAGTCCTGAGCCAAGGGAGCAAAGGGGTCAGGGATGGACAGGCCATTAGTGTTAGCCCCCAGATTCTTCTCTCACATCCCTAGGCTTTTCTGCTTTGCCATCCACCCTCTGCACCGCGGCCCGGATGAGCTTTACAAAGTGAATCACATTACATTTATATGAAATCTCAGAATAGGCAAAGGTATAGAGAAAAAAAGCTGATGAGTGGTCACCAGGGAATGGTGGCGTAGTGGTTACGAATTGGGCTGCTAATCTCACGGTCAGCAGTTCGAAACTACCATCTGTTCGGTGGGAGAAAGATGAGGCTTTCTGCTCCCGTAAAGATTTACAGCCTCGGAAACCCTGTACAGGGTTGCTGAGTCGGAACTGACTCCACATCACATAACAACAAGGGAGTGGGGGTGGAGGTGGGGAGGCCATGGGAATGACTGCTTACAGGCTTACTGGCTAGAGTTTCCTTCTAGGATGACAGAAATACAGTGGAACGAGATAATGGTGATGGCTGCCCAATGTTTTCAATACATTACGTGTAACTGAATTGTACAGCTTAAAACGGTTCAAATAGTACATTTCAAGTTAGGTGTATTTTACAACAATTAAAAAAAAAAGAAAAGTGAATCCAATTCTTCCCTCCCTTATAAAAACCTCCAAGACTCTCTGCTGTGCTTAAAATAAAATCTAAGCTTCCTACCTGGCTTATAAAACCTCAAAGACCAACTCTGCTTACTCTCAGTGTGATCTTTTCATCTCTCCTTTTCTATCTCCACCTCTACCTCAAGCTGCTCTGAGTCTTTTTGCCATTCCTCATATATACAGCAGTTTCCTGCCGCAGGGCCTTTGCACTTAACTAGTACTTTGGACATATTATCAGGAGGGACCAGTCCATGGTAAAGGATATCATGCTTGCAAAAATGAAGGGTCAACAAAAAAGAGGAAGTCCTCTAGCAAGATGGATTGGCACAGTGGTAACAGCAATGGGCTCAAACAATTGTGAGGCTGGCGCAGGACTGGGCAGTGTTTCATTCTGTTGTGTGTTGGGCCGCCATGAGTCAGAACCAACTGGACAGCAATTGACAACAGCAGTCAGAAATCCCTTCCCCAAGCTCTTTATGTGATCAACTCCTTCACAACTTTGAGGTCTCCAAGGGACATCCCTGACCACTCTTAACTGAAGTAGGTTTGGCCTTCCTGACCCATGAATGGGAGGGCTTTGTGGCTTTGGCTCTCTCTTACGGTGTTGGTAGTGAAGACTAGTGACGTAAGTGGACATCACAGTCCATGAACAAATCTGTCTTGGAAGAAGCACAGCCAGAATGCTCCTTAGAAGTGGGATGACGAGACTTCGTCTCTCATACTTTGGACATGTTATCAGGAGGGACCAGTCCCTGGAGAAGGACATCATGCTTGGTAAAGTAGAGGGTCAGTGAAAAACAGGAAGACCCCCAACAAGATGGATTGCCAGAATGGCAGCAGCAATGGGCTCAAACCTAACAATTGTGTGAGGATGGCTCAAGACCACAGCGTTTCATTTTATTATACCTGGGGTCACTATGAATTGGAACCGGTTGGACAACATCTAATAACAGCAGCAGCATGGCTGTAAGGAGCCCTGGTGGTGCAATGGTTAAATGTTTGCTGCTAACCTGAAGGTTGGTGGTTCAAACCCACTCAGCAGCTCTGTGGGAGAACGATCTGATGATCCGCTTCTGTAAAGATTACAGTCAAGAAAACCCTATGTGGTGTTTTTACTCTGTCACATGGGAACTCAATGGCACCCAGCAACAAGGACATCCTGGCCATTGTCATCCCTGAGACATATGGGTAGAGCTCTTTTTCACTTAAGGCTACATCCTCCTGATGGCAGTACAAAGAGATAGCAAGCAGTGTGGCCTGAGCAGCCCTTCCTTCCTGGTTAGGGGAGACATCTCTGTGTTCATTAAGATCCACTTATGTGACCATCAGGAGTAAAGGGACTCCTGTGAACCTGGACTACCAGGCCTTCAGACCTCTGACCACACAAATACATTCGAGAGATGGGCAGGAGGTTCAGGAATAGGACTGATTGACAGCCACAGATACCCTATGGGAGCCAGGCTGACTGAGACTGCTGGAATCTAGCCCTGGGCCCAGGGTTGAACATGTGGGGATTTTTCAGGAGTCTTGAGGACCTCTGGTCCTCAGATTCCAATGATGTGGCATCTTGGTGCCCCTCCCTCTTCCCTAGATCATCTTTAATGAGTCTAGTAACTTCCATTCTCTTTCTTTCTGGTATGAGAACAGAGGCCAGGAGCAGATGGCACTTTGGATGAAGATGCACGGATGAAAGCCATGCATTCTCCCCACCCTCTTCCCTTCCCTGAAGCCCAGGGGAGGAAGGAAGAAAGGAAGGATTCCTGGAAGAGGGGACACCCACTGGCACCAACCAGGCATATTCAGTAGGGCCACATCCCCCTCATCTGGGCTAGGTTGGACCTGGAGGCAGGGACTGTGGTTTGGCTTCAGGGCCACCCTGGACTCCCTGGATTCAGGGCTCTCTAACACGTTCTGCACCTCAGTCTCCTCCTCTGTGAAATGGGGCACTAATAGGGCACGCAGGTACCTGGAGACATTACCACATCTTCCAGAAGTCAGTGTCCCAGCTCACCCTTGCCATTCTCTCTCACCTTGCTGCTAGCCCTCCCTGCTCCCACTCCTGTCACCGGAAATCCTGCAGCTGGAGTAAATTCTTTAAATCAGACCAAATCATGCCCCTGCTTAAAACCTGCTGATGATCCCAATTACAAACTGGAACCTAAATGAGGCCTGTGATTCTTCCTGCCAGTTTCTCCCACCAGACCTTGTACCATCTTCCTTGTTGGTCTCTGCATTCCAGTCCTACTGAGACCGGCTTGTTCCTGCTCAAAGTCCTTGTCCTTGCTCTGCCTCAGACCTGGAACATTCTTCCCCCAAGATCTTTAGACACCCGACTCCCTAATTCCAGGGACTCCTTATCAGATCATCCTGTATTATTTTCTTTATAGTCTTATCACTTTCTAAAGATATCTATTTATTTCCTTATTGTCAGCTTCTCTCATTGGAGTGGAATGCATGTGTGTGAAACTTGTGGGATTTGTTTCAATGCTAGATCCCCAGTATCCAGAAGGATGCCTGGCTCCCTGTTACTGACATTAGTTTCTGTCAGTAGGATTTTCATTGGCTGAGTTTTTGGAAGTAGATTGCCAGGCTTTCCCCCCTAGTGGTATGGCGCTGTAGGATCATCACTGGACTGCAAACCACAAGGTCGGCAGTTCAAACCCACCAGCTGCTTCTTGATAACCTAAACAGGTTCGTTATGAGTTGGAACTAACTTGATAGCACTTAACAACAACAACAAATTTTAGTTTTGGAAAGCCGTGGTGGAGGTAGCGGGTTACGCGTTGTGTTCCATGGTTGGCAGTTCGAATCCACCAGCCACTCCACAGGAGAAAGATAAGGCTTTCTGCTCCCGTAGAGATTTGTAGCCTTGGAAAATGTATACAGGATGGCTCTAAGTCAGAACTAACTTAACAGAACACAACAACAACAACATCTTAGTGTGGTAGCTCAGCTGGACTCTATTCAGCATCATTGTTGTGGTTGTTAAGTGCTGCTGAGTATGTTGCGACTCATATTGACCCAGTATAGGGTTTCTAAGGAGCAAGTGGTGGGTTTGAACTGCCTACCTTGCAGTTAGCAGCTCAGTGTTGATCCTACAGCACTACACCAGAAATCCATTTAGTATCATAGCAACACACAAACTGACAGCTGGGTAGCAGTGCATGAGGCAAATGGCCGAGAACGGAGCCAGGGTCTCCACATGGTAGGCAGGAATTCTATTATCGAAGTGTCACTGCCCCTAGGAACAGAGTAGGCACTCAAGAAACACTGTTGACTGACTGGGTGAATGGATGACTGAGCTGAAATAGCTTTATTGTTTTTTGCAGTAGATAATTCTTGTTGTTAAGTGCCATTGAGTTGGTTCTGACTCATAGTGACCTTGCATTGGGTTTCCAAGGAGCAGCTGGGGGGCTTGAACTGCTGACCATTTGGTTCAAAGTCCAGTGCTGATCCTACAGCACCACACCAGGAGTCCAGATAATTCTAATGAGGACAATATCAGACCAAACAGTACATGAGTCTCAGGATGGTTAATAGTAGGGACGGAGACCAAATTCTCCCATCTAGGAGCTATGAATAGTGATTGATACGAGGTAAATGTTTGTTTTAGGTGTTATAATAGTCTTGTGGCTATGTTTTAAAAGATGCTTATTATTTAGAGATATACTGAAAGTCTGTAAATTCCTAGGAATTGCTTCAAAATTGCCTGGGAAGTAGGTAGGGTTGACACTGATTGGCCATGAGTTGCTAATTACTGAAGCTGGATGATGGGAAATGGGAATTCATTATACTATTCTGAATATGTGAGAGATTAAATTGTGTCCCCTCAAAAGGTATGTTGAAATCCTAACCCCTGGTACCTGTGAACATGACCTTCTTTTGAAAGAGGGCCTTTGAAGATATGATCAGTTAGGTTAACATGTGGTCATGCTGGAGTAGGGGGTGATGGTGGTGTGCCGTGAATTGGTTCAGACTCAATGTGACCCTGCATAGGATTTTCAAGGCTGTAAATTTTTATGGGAGCAGAAAGCCTCATCGTTCTCCCTCCTGGAGTAGAGTGGTGGTTGGTTCTGTGCCATGGAGTTGGTTCCGACTCATAGCGACCCTGTATAGGGTTTCTGAGACTGTAAATCTTTACGAGAGCAGAAAGCCTCATCTTTCTCCCGCGGAACAGCTGGTAGTTTCGAACTGCTGACCTTGCGGTTCGCAGCCTGATTCGTAACCACTACGCTACCAGAGCTCCTTTGGAGTAGAGTAGGCCCTCATTTAATAAGAGTGGTGGTGATGTGCTGTGGAGTTAGTTCCGATTCATAGCGACCCTGTATAGGGTTTCTGAGGCTGTGAATCTTTATGGGAGCAGAAAGCCTCATTTTTCTTCCACGGAGTGGCTGATAGATTCAAACTGCTGATCTTTTTTTTTTTTTTTTTGGTTAGCAGCCCAAAGTGTAACCACAGTGTTACCAGGGTTCCTTTCATAAGAGTGGATCTTATGAAAGAAAAGAGACAAAGCCCAGAGGAGTGAAGATACATCTGTGTACCAAGGAACACCGGGAACCACCAGACGCTGAGAAAGCTGAGAAAGAATGATCTCTTAGAGCCTTCAAAGTGAGCAGAGGCTAGCCAGCACACTGGATTTGGACGCCCAGCCTCCAGAACTGTGAGGCAATACATTCATTTCTTCCAAGTCAACCACTATGTGGGAATTTATGATGGCATCCCAAGAAAATTAAGATAGTATATTATTTGAAACTGTTCAGGATAAAACATTAAAAAATATCCTCCCACTTTTCTAGCTGTGTTGTTGTTGTTATGTGCCATCGAGTCGGTTCCTACCCATAGCGACCCTTTACAGGGTTTCCGAGGCTGTAAATCTTTACAGGAGCAGAAAGCCTTCTCTTTCTCCCGTAAGTTTGGGCAAATCACTTCCTCTCTCTGGGACTCAGTTTGTTCATATGTAAAATGGGAGACTGTGACAGTGCCTTCCAGGAGTGGTTGTGAGAATTGCAGGAGCTCTGGTATCCGTAGTGGTTACGAGTCAGGCTGCTAACCGCAAGGTCAGCAGTTCGAAACTACAGGTCATTCCTCAGGAGAAAGATGAGGCTCCTATAAAGATTTACAGCCTCAGAAACCCTATGCAGGGTCACTATGAGTTGGAACCAACTCAGTGGAACACCACCAGCACTATCACAAGTGAGAGTGAAGTGCTTCGAACCAGGGTCCGCATGTGTCAAAGGGCAGGTACAGCTTCAGGTTGAGAGCTTGGGGGGTAGTTAAAGAGGCGGTGGTCAAATGCATCCTTCCCCCAGAACAGTGCTGGGAAAGCCCCCTTCCAACCCTTACCCCCCACTTGTTATCACACTAGGAATGCCTCCCCTGAGATGGAACACTGGTGTGAATACACCAGCATTCTCTCGTTTGATCCTATTTAAAGAGATACTCCCCCATTTCCTCCCTTCTCTAGCCTCCAGATCTCGGGAGAGTTTGCCAGCTTGTATTTCAAGAGGTGAGAAAAGCATATCTGAGAATCCATGCCAGGAATCAGGACTAAATGAGTTCACAGACTGAGGAGGCAGCGAGCAAAGCTGTTCTTGCTCATGTTCTTGCTCCCAAGGGGTTCTCCCACCCCCTCCTTCGCTGCAGGCCACCCGGTCCCCCTTCTGCCAGGAAATCTTGTCTCTGAGACATTCCTGGCTTCCACTCCTGCAGAAGTAGCTTCTCGGAGCAAGGGAGGCCTCATAGGCGTGGAGCTGGGGAAGCCGCAGGGGAAGGGCTCACCTTCTGTGCACATGCAGTTGTCGAAGCACTTGTTGTTGAGACCTCGGTTGTGAGGCGTGCAGAGATGTTCCCGAAGGTCACAGCAGCTGCCTATGACACAGGAAGTCCACTCGGTCAGCCACTCGAGCCAGAGCCCTCCCTGCCATCCCATATGTGGTTCCTTGAGACAGGAGATCCCTGTGGCAGGGTAGGACTGGAACCATGGATGGAACCATGGCTGAGGCCCCTGAGTCAGGGGGCAGAGACACCCACTGAAAACCAATGGATCATCAGGGAGCAAACAGGGGACCACCTTTTGGGATGGAACAGCTTGTGGCCACAGGTGTGGAGTCAGCTGAGAGCTGAAAGGGACCTCGGAGCATGGACTATAATGCTTACTAGTGGACAGATGGGAAATAAGGCCCAGGGATGCAACCCACGACAGACTCAGGCTTGGCCTGACCCAGCCTGGAGCCAGATCTCAGAGTTGAGTGTTCAGCTAGGCCACACTCCAGCCTTTCATTCCAGCTCAGAGTAAGCACTGCTACTGTTCTTAGTGACGGAAGAGTCCATTCTGACGCATGGCAACCCCATGTGTACAGAGTAGAACAACGGCTCCACAGGGTTTCCAAGGTTGTGACCTTTCAGAAACATCACCACACCTGTCTTCCAAAGCACCTCAGGATGGGATTGAAGTGCCAACCTTTTGGCTAGTAGTTGAGTGCTTAATTGTTTGTGCCATGCAGAGGCTCCTTGAGTGAATGCGATGGTTTGGAAATTGAGCTGGTGGTCTGGCTTCCACATTGCTGCTTGGTTGCTGTGTTTGTAGAAGAGTTGGGAATGAACAAGTGTGGAGTGTGGAGGTGAGCGCTCAGGCCTTCCCACAGGAGAGCGACTGCAGTTCCCTTGACAGCTTGGAGCTACCTCAGTGTTCAAGTCCAGGTCACATTGTTCCTGGCAGCCCCAGTCAGTAACTGACATGCATGTGGACGGACCTCCTGTAACAGGCCGGCTCTGCTCTGGAGTGCCCTCTGTAGGCTGGCCTAGACTTTGCGCTTCAGTTTCTGAAGGTTTTCCTGCCCATCCCTTTGCTCCTTCTTTTAACTTCCTTAGTCCTGGCATAGAGTCTCTATGACTAGACAACACTTAATAACAAACAACAACAGTCCTAGTGTGGTGCTATGGATAAGCACTAGACTGCTAACCACAAGGTTGGCAGTTCAAACACAGCAGCCATGCCTTGGTTGCTAAGGGTCAGAACTGACTTGGTGGCAACTAACAACAACAAACAGGTGTTTTCTCCACCCTCCCAACATAAACCTGCATGCCTACCTCCATCTCAGCCCCTGCTTCCCAGAGGCTCCAATGGACTCAATGAAGACCAGCAAGTTAAGACATTGATCAAAACCTCAGCTACTTGTTTTCAGATGGCCTTGATGTTGAACAGTGAGGATGAAGATGCCTTTGAGAACATCCTCTGAAAACACTCCAGAGTTGTGAGGGAACAAGGACAGATCAAGTCCTGCCAGGTTTCCAGAAGGAGAGGTAAGGAGGGGCAGCATGAAAAAGGTCGATCTTACAGTCCCAGAGCAGAGGACCCTGGGACCATCAAGGGAAAAGAGCAGAGTGTGGGACTCTTCCCAGAGAAGCGGCAATGTCAGAGATGGAGACAGAGATGATAACATGGAGAAATGGAGCAGTTGAGGATTCTAGACTCATGGAGGGAGACAGGATATGTGCTGGTGGTTGGGGGGCAGGGTGTGTCCTTTAGCTGTTTGAATGATTGTATGTCCCTGAGAGTTTTGGTGCACATCCCCTCACACACACCCCAAAAACACACACACACAAAACACATATACAAAAGAAGAGAGAATAGAAGCAAATACTGTTGAATGATGAAGCATGTAGGGGATTATATTCATTGCAATGAAACGAACTGATGTTCCCCCATGTAAACTATCACTCAATTCACAATAAAAACTTAAAAAAAAAAAAAAAGTGAGGCAGCATGCAGTAGTGATTAAGAGTGACTTCCTAGCTGTGTGACCACAGGCAGGACACTTAGCCTCCCTGGGGCCAGTTTCCTTGCCTGGAATTAGAAATGGCACTATCTCTGAGTGGTTGTGAGGATTACACAAAGTAATGTACAACAACAACTCTCGGTAACTGGTAACCAGTTGCCTTCAATGCCAACACCACATGTGTCAGAATACAAATGTGTTCTACATGATTTTCAATGGCTGAGTTTTTAAAAGTAGATCACTGGGTCTTCTACCTCTTCTGAGGTACCTCTGGGTAGACTTGAATGCCCAACCTCTTGGCTAGCAGCTAAAAGCTTTAACTATTGATACTACCCAGGGGCCAGTAAATGTTGTTGTTGTGTGTCGACGAGTCAGTTCTGACTCATAGCGACCCTGTATAGGGTTTCTAAGGAGCGGCTGGTGGTTGTGAACTACTGGCCTTGCTGTTAGCAATTCAGTACTTACTCTACCACACCACACCAGATTTGTTGTTGTTGTTGTGGTTAGGTGTCATCGAGTCGGTACTGACTCATAGTGACCTTATGTACAACAGAACGAAACACTGCCCGGTCCTGGGCCAACCTCACAATTGTTGCCACGCTTGAGCCCATTGATGCTGCCACTATGCCAATCCATCTCGCCGGGGCTCTTTCTCTTTTTCTCTGACCCTCCACCTCACCAGACATGTATCCTTTTCCAGCGACTGCTCCCTCCTGACAATATGTCCTAAGTATGAGAGAAGAAGTTTGGCCATCCTGGCCTCCAAGGAGCACTCTGGCTGCACTTGTTCTAACACAGATCTGTTGGTTCTTTTGGCAGTCCATGGCACTTTCAGTATTCTCCTCCAACACCACAACTCAAAAGCATCAATTCTTCTACAATCTTCCTTATTCACTATCCAGCTTTCGCGTGCATATGAAGTTATTGAAAATACCATGGCTTGGGTTAGGCGCACCTTAGTCCTCAAGCTGACATCTTTGCTCTTTAATACTTTAAAAAGGTCTTGTGCAGCAGATTTGCCCAGTGCAATACATCGTTTGATTTTTTGACTGCTGCTTCCGTGAGTGTTGATAATTGATCCAAGAAGAATGAAGCCCTTGACAACTTCAATCTTTTCTCCATTGATAAGAATGTTGTTTATTGGTCCAGTGGTGAGGATTTTTGTTTTCTTGACATTGAGATGCAATCCATACTGAAGGCTGTGCTCTTTGATCTTCATCAGTAAATGTTTTAAGTCTTCTTCACGTTCAGCAAGCAAGGTTGTATCATCTGCATATCGCAGGTTGTTAATGAGTCTTCCTCCAATCCTGATGCCACGTTTTTCTTCATAGAACCCAGCTTCTCATATTATTTGCTCAGCATACAGGTTGAGTAAGTATGGTGAAAGGATACAACCCTGTTGCACACCTTTCTTAATTTTAAACCACACCAGGTAGCTGGTATTATTATTTATCATCCATAGTAGAGGGTCCTGCTCACACATGTCTAGGAATGACCCCCACCCCTTTGTAAGTCTCCTCCCAATACCTGGTATAACACCTTGCACACAGGCACTGGTGTATTAGGTACCTGGGAGGCAGTCTTGATGATGGTCACACGGCTCCCCCTCTGCTGGTGATGTTTCATTGCCATCACTAGAGAGTTTACCTCGGTGTTTCTCTGTGGACAAGAAGATCTGTCATCAGAAACTGAGGCCCAGAGGAGCACAGAAGTTATTTACCCAGACTCTGGGGTCAGACTGCCAGCTCTGTCTAAGACACTGTACCTCTCTCTGCCTACGTTTTCTCTTCTCTAATACAATCAATACTAGTACTGACCTAACAGACTTTTTTTTTCCCCCCAGCATAAAATGAGCTGGTAGATAGAAAGAGTTTGACGTGTAATACACACTTGATCTTTTCTATCTTTCTAATGAAACTAGCTCTTGAATGTAGAGTTGCTAAAGCAGCTGGAAGAGATGAACACACTTCTCAAGTTGAAAGAAATGAAGAAAATATTCAATCCTAGACTGTGATATTGAAGGATCCTATGTGGGTTAATGCACTGGACTGTAAAGTCCATTTGAACTGCAAGGTTGGTGGTTCAAGCTCACCAGTTGCACCTTGGAAACCCTATATACAGGGTCGCTATGGATCAGAACCAACTCAACAGCACTTAACAACAACAATAATGGGTAAAATATTGAAGGGCACAGGAAGTATCAAAAGATGAAAGGAATACACAATTAGTGTACCAAAAAGAATTGGTTGACATTCAACCATTTCAGGAACTGATGGTGAAGGCTGAAGTCCCAGCTTCACTGAAGGTGATGTGAAACAAACAAGGCTCCAGGAATTGATGAAATACCAACTGAAATGTTGCAACACTGGAAGCATTCACTCATCTATGCCAAGAAATTTGGAAAACTTCTACCAGGCCAAACTGCCTGGAAGAGAGTCATATTCATACCCATTTGAAAGACAAGTGATCAATGGAATGCAGAAATTCTCTAACAATATCATTAATAGCACATCAAGTAAAAGTTTGCTAAAGATAATTTTTAAATGGTTGCAGCAGTATATCAACAGGGAACTGTCAGAAATTCAAGCCAGATTCCGATGAAGAGGTGGAAGGAGGGATATCATTGCTGATGTCCGATGAATCTTGACTGAAAGCAGAGAATACCAGAAAGATGTTCACCTGTATTTTATTGACTATTCAAGGAATGGGAATCTCAGAACACTTAATTGTGCTCATGAGGAATCTGTAGATAGACTAAAAGGCATTCATTTGAGCAGAACAAAGGGATACTGAATGGTTTAAAATCCGGGAAGGTGAGCTTTCCTGTCAGGATTGTATCCTTCCACTATACTTATTCAATCTGTATATTTAACAGATCATCTGAGAAGTTGGACTATGTGAAGAAGAATGTGGCATCAGGATTGAGGGAAGGCACATGAACAACCTGCGATATGCCGATGTCACAACCTTACTTGCTTCCTAAAATGAAGAGGATTTAAAGCACTCACAAAGATCAAGGCCTTCAATATTTATTACATCTCAACATAAAGAAAACAAAAATTCTCACAACTGGGCCAACCAGCAGTGTCATGATAAATAGAGAAAATATTGAAGTTGTCAAGGATTTCATTTTATCTGGTTTCATAATCAACACTCATGGAAATAGCAGTCAAGAAATCAAACGATGTATTTCTTGCAGTGCAAATCTGCTACAAAAGTCCCCTTTAAAATGTTAAAAAGCAAAGATGTCACTTTGAGGACTAAGGTGCACTTGACACAAGCCATAGTGTTTTCAATGACATCACATGCATGTGAAAGCTGAACAATGAATAAGGAAGATAGAAGAAAAATGAATACATTTGAATTATGGTGTTGGTGAAGAACATTGAATATATAACGGACTACCAGAAAAATAAACAAATCTGTCTTGGAAGAAGTACAGCCAGAATATTCCTCAGAAGCAAGGTAGGCAAGACTTCACCTCACATACTTTGGACATGTTATCAAGAAGAGGCAGTCCCAACTGGCTTACAAGCTTTCAAGAGGGAACCTAGATCCAGAGGGTGTAGAGGAAGATAGAGTCTCCACGGAGTAGTATCCAATCTGTCTGGGTGGGGCTGATGAAAGGAAATGCGGATATGTCTCTTGTGATACAATAGTGAATAATTGTTATCAGGACTGATTGTGAGGGTTGGAAATGTAAAGGTAGCCGTTTTGTAGCAAGGAGGGGAGTGATTAACTTTGCAGTCTAGGAGCAGAGGTCCCTGGGACCATCAAGGGATAAGAGCGGAGAGCGGGACCCTACCTAGAGAAGCAGTGATGCCTGAGATGGAAGCGGAGATGATGACGTGGAGAAGTGGAGCAGCTGGGGACTTTAGACCCAGAGAGGGAGAGGGGCTGTGTGCTGACAACCAAGGGGCAGGCTTGTAGTGCATACCCTTTGGTTGGGTAATGATGCATGGAGGGGATTGTAACCATAGCAATGAAACGATATACGATAGAATGAATGTAAAACTAATGTTCTCCCATGTAAACTATCACATAATTCACAATAAATCATTGTAAAAAAAAGCACCTAACAACAGTAACAAGTACTCGGCAGCTTTTAGTCTTGACTGCCCCCAACTCTGAACATCTGTAGGTCAGATTGGGGTCACTGGAGCTATGCTAAACAGATTTGGGCAGAGGATGGAGCCAGGTGTGGAGGCGGCAGGGTAGGTAGGCATACCTTTCTTTTTTGAAGAGGGCCAGACCTCTGGTTTTAGATCTTCATAATCAGTCCAGTCGAACAAGGCCATATCCAATGTGGGCATCACCTCCCCTTCGGGCCTGGGCTGCACCTGCAGGAAAGGGTGCATTGGAAGAGACCTGGAGCCTTCTAACTGCTGGAAGTAGGACTATGGGCCAGAATGCATTCTGTCCCTAGAGTAAGGACCCCAGGTCACCTTTCCCTGGGCAGTAGCATCCCTGTTTCAGGACAGAGTGTCCCCCATACTGGAGCTGGACTGGACAGTACATCAGAAGACCTGGTTTCAATATGGTGCTGTGGGATAAAGCACTGGACCACAGGTTAGTTTGAACCACAGGTCGGTGGTTCAAGCTCACCAGCTGCTCCTTGGAAACCCTATACAGTGTCGCTATGAGTTGGAACTGACTCGATGGCACTTAGCAATAACTCCCTAAATATACAAGAGGGGATTGCACGATGGACCCTCCCAGCTCCAAGGCTGTTCTGAAGCTCTCTACCTGAGGTCGCAGAGACGTGACAGGCAGGATGAAGGACTCTTCCGTGGCAGGTGCTGCCTCCAAGGTGGTTAGGAACAGCATGGTGGGGGCCAGGCTGGTAGAGGAGTCTTCCATTATAGCGTCCTGAACCTGGTCTTCAGAGAATTCCACCTTCTTCATCAGGGAGCTGGGACCTCGGACCAAAGCTCGGCCTAAGGTAAAGAGCAGGAGACCTGGGACTCTGCCCACAGAAGCACCCACATTTTCTACTGCAAACCAGGGGGCACTGAGGATTTGGAAAAAGCTGTGCGCTCAGTCACCATCCCTACTACCCATCCTTCCGGGGGCTCAAGGCACTTGGAGGAAATGTTGTCTGGGAGACAGCCCAGGGATTCTCTTTATAAAGCAGCATTCCAACAAGTACAAGTTGGAGCTAGCTGGGTGCAGTCAGAGGTGTAACTGCAACAAATGGGAACTGGCAGGATTAACCCTGGGAGGCTCCCTGGAGGAGGTGAGGTCTGAGTAGGGGAGCAACATGATGTGGGTTGAAGGGTGGGAAGAGGTCCTGTGCAGGCTAGCGGTGAGTACAGCAGCTTCTCATACAAAAGTGAGGGGTCCCTATGTGGTGATAATCTCTAGTCCAGTCCATTTATTGAGTGCTTGATGGGTTCAAAGTCCCAGTCTTTCATTAAACAATGACAAAATGCCAGGGAGGTAGGTGCTACCTTCAGTCTCATCTACTGGGGAAGAAACTGAAGTGCACAAAAGATAGGCAACTTGCGTGAGGATACATAACTAGTAAGCAGAAGAGTCTGAATTCGAACCTACATCTGTCTGAGTGCAAAGTCAATACTTTAAACCACAAATACTACCACCTTCCAAACCACATGGTTGTGGGATAGGGTGAGAGAGTGCAGAGTCAGATGGTCAGAACCAGAAGGGCTTTGAGAGAGCTGGAAGCATCAGGCTTATCCTACCTCACTTTCTCCTGCCAGATCTGGCTGCAAGGTCAGTTGGGCAGGCTACTCCCCACCCCCTATCCTAAAGAAGAGAATTCTAGAGAGTGGAAAGGGGTCTTAGGAACCCTCGAGTTTATCCTATTCATTTTTCAGACAGGGAAACTGAGGCCCTTTCAGCCTGAGGTCCCACAGGTGACCTAGCCTTGGGCTCCCGACTCCTCACATCAGCTCTCCTGCGAGGAGCCCACTGGTCCATGAAGCTGGGGAGGTGTTGCTGAGCTACAAAGAGTTCTGCTCCATGTGTGCCCCTGGCTTGTCCTCAAGGATGCCAGCACCCTTCCCCCACCCAACACAGACGACCCCCTCTGGGATGAATCCTTGCTCTACCCACTTGGAGGATTCCCACAGCCTTGCAGGGAAGCAAAGCCCAACTTCCGCAGAAGAAGGGGGGGGTGGGGTCTCAATCACCTCCTCCTACAGAAGGATGCCCCTCCCCCTATGTTCATGGCCTAAATCTGTGGCCTGCCCCCAGAGATGCTCTTGTCACATGAAGACACTTGGAAGTTGAGGTTGTTACCTGGGCTTAGTGCCAGGTGTCTATGGGGAGGCGCCATCTGGGTGGAGCTACCGGGACAGGTTTGCTTAGAGACTGGATGGGCAAAGGGGGCACCTGGGCAGTGGGGCACCAGATAGCTCACAAGGATGTAGGAGCATCAGGGAAGGTGGCAAGGGCTGGGGGCACCCATGATGGGGACCCCTGTGAGTCCAGGTCTCTAGGTTGGAGAGCACTGATTCAACGTCAAGAAAAATCCGGGACTAACTGATAACAGCTACTGCTCATTGCCTCTGCCACTTGCTGGCACCATTCTAAATGCTCCACATAGCAAGTCTCTGAATTTCCATGAGGGCACATGAGACCACTATCCTCATTTTACAGAGGGGGAAACCGAGGCACAGAAAGGTTAAACTTGTCCAGGGCCACACAGCTAGTAAGTAGTGGGGCAAGGATTTGAACCTGCGCTGATCTGGCTTCAGTCTACGCTCTTAGCCCTCCCTCTACTTCAAAGTTGATGAAGTGATTGCTTTGAAGGCCAGGACACTTCTATGGTATATTGAAGTCCACCAAATTGTTCCATGTAGACTCAGGACTTAGAGCTGGACCCAATGGACTCTGACTCATAACAACACCGCCCACATGCCAGGAGAACCGTGTTCCACAGGGTTTTCAATGACTGCTCTTTCAGATGTAGATTAACAGACTTTTCTTCTGAGGCACCTCCAGGTGGACTTGAACCTCTAACCTTTGAGTTAACAGCTGAGCGTGTTAACCATTTGTCCCATTCTGCTTAGGACTTACAGTACCTGGGATTTAGGTCAGGTACGGTAGAACTTCCTGATTTAAGAGGATTCTATCCTGATAAGACTGAGTTTCCGTTGTCACATACCCCTCTCCTTGTCCTGTCCCCTGCCCCTACCACATCCTCTGAGTTTAGTGAGCCCTCCTCTGGGTGACCACTAACTGTTGACTTTGAGGGTCTCTGAATGTCCTCTCGGGCCCTCATTCCACTGATACCTCCTCTACTTTCCTTCTGTGTCCCTGTGCTCCTCTGGCCATCTGCCTCTGAGTCCATCTTTACACCTCCACCCGATCCCTCTCGCCATTTTTAAGAGTCACTTCCTCACATATCTCCAATTACCTCGATGCAGCTTCAGTCTGTCCCTGCGTCTCTTGTGTTTCTTCGCCCTCTCTAGCCCTGGGGACCGGTTCTCCTTCTCGGGATAGGGCAGCGCCAGCCCTCGGAGCAGGTCCTTGTCCCGTAGCAGGCCTGCAGGACTCTGCCCAGGCAGCAGGCCCCCTGCCCCAGGCAGCCTGGAGGCCTGCCTGGTGGTGGTGACCACAACCCCATCCTGAGCCCTGCCAGGCATGCCTGGGCTCCGTGCCTTCTTGCCCAGGCCCCGCCGGCGGTGGTGGTTGGCCTGAGATTTCCAGAGTGCTGGGCGCAGGAGGTCGATGTGATTCTCAGGGAGGTTTCGGGCTGGAGTTCCAGGTGCCAGGGAGCCTGCAGGGTTAGGCTCCAGGAGAAGCAGGAGGGCCAGGAGCAGCATGGGGGCAGCGTGGGTGGGCCGTCGGACCATGGCCTCCTTCCTGTAAGAAGAATAGTGTTATGAAGGCAGCGCCTCTGCCTTCCTCCTCCCCATCCTAAACCCCTCCACCACAGAGCTTCTCAATAGGGAGGGAGGGAAGGGACTCTGCTCCTAGGGGACATTTGGCAATGTCTGGAGACATTTTTGGACTGTGACTTCCCAGCTGTGACATGATACTGGTGGCTAGTGGGTAGAGGCCAAGGATGTTGCTAAATACCCTGCAATGAGCAAGCTAGCACCTCAACAAAGGGTCACCCAGAGTGTCCAGGATGCCAAGACTGTTGAGGTTGGGAAACCCTGCCTCAGTCATTCTAGCAAAATCCAGGTTCCAGATTAGACTAGAAGTCCTTTCTCTGAATAAACGTCTATCCTTTGCCAAGTCTCCTGGACTCTTCCAGCCTGCAAGGGCTCAGAGACACCCTTTTGGGTCCAGGAATTTGACTGAAAGCTGAACAAACGTTTAAGAACAAGAGCTTTTGAACACATGAGGAAGCCAGGAATCATGGTAATTTATGCCACTTAGGGCCATGCACTGGACCACAAGGTTGGTTTGAATCACAAGGTCGATGGTTCAAACTCATCAGCCACTCCTTAGAAACCCTATGTTGTTGTCGTTAAGTGCCATAGAGTTGGTTCCAACTCATACTGACCCTGTATAGGATTTCCAAGGAGTGACTGGTGGATTTGAACTGCCACCTTTTGGTTCAAATTGACCTTGTGGCCCAGTGCTTATTCTACAGTGCCACACCTGGGCTCCACAGCGCCATACCACGACTCCCGGAAACCCTATTTAGGGTCACTATGAGTCGGAAAAGGAACTCTGGTAGCATAGTGGTTATGAGTTGGGCTGCTATCCTCCAGATCAGCAGTTTGAAACTTCCAGCAGTTCTGCGCGAGAAAAATGAGGATTTCTGCTCCCGTAAAGATTTACAGCCTTAGATACCCAACACAGGGTCGCTATGAGTTGGAACCGACTCCACGGCATACCACCACCACCACCACCACAAGTTGGAACAGACTCAACAGCACCTTACTGCAACAACAATAAAGTCCTTTGATGCAGCGGTTAAGCGCTTGGCTGTTAAGTGAAAGGTCAGTGGTTTGAACTTGTAAGATCAGCAGGTGACAGAGGTGACAACCAAAGATTCCAAACTAAAAATCCACATTTTCATCTAGTCGGTTCTGACTCATAGAGACACAGCAGGACAGGGTAGAACTGCCCCATGGGGTTTCCAAGGCTGTGAACCTTTATGGAAAAGAGTCTCAGCTGTTAACTGAAAGGCCAAGTTTGGTAGTTTGAATCCACCAGCTGCTCAGCAGGACAAAGATGTGGCAGTCTGCTTCCATAAAGATTATAATCTTGGAAAACCTTTAGGACACTTTTACCTTGCTCACCAGTTGCTCCTTGGAAGCCCTACACACGATCATTATGGGTTGGAACTGACTCTACAGCACTTAACAACACAACAACAATACTAGGTCGCTATGAGTCAGAATCAACTCCAGGGCAGTGGGTTAGTCTTTGCATCAGCTCTCTGAAGTGAGTCCTACTAATATTCCCATCTTTCTAATGAGAAAATTAAGGCTCAGAGCAGTTAAACCACATTTAGTTAAGTAGCACCTACGTAATTCACAAGCCTGAGCTTTTAGTCTTCATGTTGCCATCCAGGACAGCACAGCTCTGCCCTTTGACCTTTCATCCCATGATAAGCCCTTAGGTCATTTCCTCCAAGTCAGTGTGGTTCCTCCTTCCAAGTCCAAGCAGGGTATGTGTGTGTGTGTGGTGGTGGTGGTGGTTCTGGCTCAGCACAATCCCTGATGGGGCTGAGGGCGTGGAGAGCCAGCCTCTTAGTCTTGACTCTGACGCCTGCAGGGTAGGTGAGCAGACTGACCCTCAGAACAGCCCCTCACTGCCCATGCAGTAGAGCCTCCTCAGGGGCCCACTGCTCTGTCCCCATCCCTGGCTCCTGGATGGCCTCATGAACCTCCCAGCCTGGGAATGAGAATGGTGGGGGCTGTCTACCGAACTCTGGAGACCACCTTCCACCTCTTTCCACTGTAGCCTCATTGTACCCAGTCAGGCTCAACACCAAGCTCTCCAGGCTGATGGAATTTTTATGGTGCCCGGGTCTACCTTGGATTCCATTAGGCTCTCAAACGTGCTTACACAACTCTTTCCGTGTGATTTGTGGCCATCTAATTGCCAGTGCTGAGTCTGGCTTGTTAGCCAGGAAGGATTCCCAGCATCACCCCTCTACATTCTCAGCTCCCACAGCCCTGCTTGGATGTGTACCTGAGGTTCACCTTTAGCCTGCCCTGAGTGAGGGGGCCTTGATGGTGGGCCCTCTGAGCCAATACACAACATAGAACAGCGACTGGGGACCGGGCCCCATCCCTGACTAGCTGATCACTTTAAGAGGGCTGCAGGGGATGCTGAAGGAAGGGAAACTTGTTCTTTATCTTCTCAGCCTCACCCAGTCTGAGGAGGAACTCTGAGAACTGCCATTACTCCATTGTCCTGACATCCAAGGCCTGGCCTCCACTGCCCACCCTGGAGCCTGGCCGGAGAGTGAGGTCTTACACTTGCTTTCCATCATGCCCTGAGAAGGGAGCCACCTGAGTTTCCTGGGGGAGTCTTGGTGGGGAGTGGGGAGCACTGGATGGGCTTGTGACACCCCCTGCTCCTCCGCACACACATCTATTATTCAGGCTATAAAAGCTTGCACCAACCTTGCTGGCTACAAGAAACTCTTGCCCATCGGCTCCCCCCACCCCCACCCCCACCGGCCTCTCCATAATGAGAGCTCCAGAGGCTGAGGGTAAACGCAGCTGGACCAGAGCTTCTGACTCTGAGGCTGCCTAGCGGAAGGGAGGGGAGGGGGGCGTTTTAAAGTCCTGTCAATCAAGCATTATTCAGACCAGGGGGGTGGCTCAAACTGGGTTTCAAGGCCTGTTGTGGAGCTGAGTCTCTCAAGAAGGCTGGTATGTTGTTTGAGAGGGGTCAGACTGCACCCTCTGCTCTCCCTGTGATGGATGTTGTCCACGACGCACCCTGCTCTTTTTTCCTACTGGGACACTGAAGTTCACAAAGCACCTCCATCAACAAAGGACCTGCCAGTTGTTGGCCGGTGAACAAAATCCTTCCCCCAGCAGCTCCATCCTGGAGGTAGGGAGGAGCAAGGCTGGAAACCAGATGAGGCTGAGCAGAGTACAGGCAAGTACAGGCAGCTTCTGGGTCCCTGAGGACACCCTAGAGGCTGACCTTGGAAGACAGAACCTCCCCTCCAGAGACACCAGACGAAGCCCAGCTCCACACTCCCAGTTCCAACACCCCATGTGTGTCAGAGTAGAATTGTGCTCCACAGGATTGTCAGTGGCTGATTTCCTAGAAGTACATGTCCAGGCCTTTCTTCCCAGGTCCCTCTGGGTGGATTCAAACCTTCAACCTTTCAGTTAGAAGTTGAGAGTGTTAGCCTTTTGCAGGACCCTGCAAATAATAGGCACCTAGAACTATGGATCGGGATGGAAATGAATTAAACACAAATTTACACCTAAGCAGAAAATCATAAATAGATCCACTATGTGCATATGCGTATGTGCATACATGTGTATACATGTGCACACATACATGTGTATGTGTGCATAAGTGTGATGAAGTGTGAGCTAGGGAAGTCCTGGAGAGCCTAGCACCATTTTGCCCAGTTGGTAGGCAGAGGGGTTTCCTGGAGACAGTATGAACCACTCTTTCCAAGTTGACAGGATTTTATACACTGATCTTGGCATAACTCAAGAGCTGAGATGCCAGCCTGGCAGAGAACTGCTCATGAAATGTGGTTGCTGCTGCATTGTGCCAAGGATCCACAAATGATGGATTGCACTCTACCCTGTCTTTCTGGAAGCTAGCAGAGGCTGTACCCCCAAAGCACCAAGTATCCGAGTGAAAAGAGGAAGCAGGTGTCCTCCAGCCCCACCCATGTCAGATATGCAAGATTCTTCCTGTTGCTTACTCGCAAGTGTCTCCTGTCCAGATGGGGATCATCAACCTCCTGGGGTTGCCCTGGACAAGAGGAGTCAAGGGGCAAGCGTCAGGACTGTGCACAGTCCCAACACAGCTGTCTCACTACTGAGGACTCATAGTAGACCATTCTAAACAAAATGACAAAGGCAATGTTAATAATAGGAGCTGCCATTCCCAGAGCAGTGCTTACGCCCCAGGCATCTTCCACACTCCACATCTTATTGCATTTTGGCAGCAGCCCTGCGGGGAGAGTTCTCCAGGTTTTTAAAATGAGGAAACTGAGATGGAAAGCCCACTTCAAGCAAGGTCTGGCCTGTACCTTGTGCACACACTCAGCTTTGTTGGGATCACCTGCCTACTCACCGTTTTGGTCCTGAAGTGCGCTTAGGGCTGGGGAAAGAGGGGAAGCCAGACACTGGCAGCTAAGAAAGGAAACCAAAGGAGCGTAAAGGAGAGGGGCTTATTTTATTCCCTTTCCCACCCCCACCCCGTGCTGAGATGTAGAACTGTGAGCCCAGTTGTCTCTACCCAAGAGGCTTTGGGAACAGCATCTTACAAAAATGAAGGTGATTAATCAAGTCTGGATCCTGCTTTGATTCCTGAGCCTCTGCTTCCTGGTCTTCCATTCAGGGTATGCTCTCTGGGGGAGAGGAGACTAAGGGGATCCTGCCCCACCATCGTGGTAGACAACTGTGGAGCCAACATCCTGCCTTGCTCTTCAGGTCCCCTGCTGAAGAGTGGGCTGACTAGGAGGGGGCGGGTGGGGGCAGGGATAACTGCAATGCTCTGATGGAGCCGAGTCCAGGCTGTGAGCCAGACCCACCCGGAGATCACAGGCACTCGACCCCCTCCCTGGCCCTCTGTTTCCTCATATGTGAAAGTGACAAATGTGAGGCACGGGGTTTGGTAAAGATGTTTCAAAGGTTCTGTAAACCTTTGATTC